ATTTTATGATAGTATGGCATGTAGATTGACAAAATCCTAATAATAATAGATTTGTGCATAAAGCATTAGCATATAAACCCATTCCTTACTCTGATCTTCTATTGTTTATTTCCAAACTCTCTTCATCTATTCTGTCTTTGGTGCAGATGATTAATGATTTTGGACATATATCTGGTTATTCTATTAACAGATCAAAGCTACTACTTGTCTATTGGAGACAATATACCCCATAGTGTGTTATCTAATTAGCAATTTAGATTTCATGCTGGGAATTACGTTTCAGGGAATATTTCACCCAAGAGACCTATCACAAATTATTAAGTGAAATTTAAATGTTTATTAATGAAGTCTTAGGGGACACTGAAAGATGGGCATCTATAAAATTAAATCTTTAATTTAAACTAAAATGTACAGTTAAAATTAATTTAGCACTCCGAATTGTTTATGATTTATGTGCTATTCTTTTATTTATATATGGCAAGGATTTCCAGATGTTTATGGGATGCCAATCCACCATGAATATCCTTGGAAAGGATGCAACCTTTCCTTGTACTAGCAGGCCTATTTGTACTAGATTTTGGCCTTTTCCTCTTCAGTTAGATTCCTTTGCCTGTTCATTTTTGGAATCTTCTTTCTGGATCCTCTTTCCAAGTTGACTGAATATGACTCTTGTCCCATCAAAGTAGATATTGTGCCCCCTCCCACTGTGGGAGCTAGATTGCCGTGGTGCGTTTTTTCACATCAGCTGCAGTTTGGCATATTTTCACACACAAAATTAACTTTACAGGGAAATCCAGATTTTAAAATTAGCAAGAAAATGTCTGTCTGTCTGACCTGCTTGTTGGTCCTGAAGATAATTTTCTGTCATTTTCTGCTTTGTGTCGTAAATAAAAGTTGACAGCCATGGCTACTTGGCAATACGGGCAACCGAAACTGTTAGAATCCAAGTTTGCTCCTGCTCCTTTTACAGCTTCAGAGCTGCCTGTGATAGTGGAAATACTAACTGAGGCTAAACAGTTACATCAGCCTACAATTCATGCCCATAAATATTTATTATCAGTAAATATCTGAGACACAGGTCTTACCAAAAATGAAATAATGCACTGGAGCATCCCGTCTTGCCCAGTGAAGATCCTTTGTTATTGTCTACTTTGCAGGGATCTTAGGTTACACTTAATTCAGCAACATTTGATGTTTTGAGTATACTGGATGTGACAGTGTCTTTTTAATACAGGCTTATTTAAATTGGCCAGTTGTTGGAAGTGCAGCCCTGCTGATGCTTCTCTTCTTCATACACTTTGGCAATGCCCAATTGCAGCTTCCTTTTGGGAGGGGGAAATAATTCAGATAAATTTTGTGGCAGAAAGTTCTAAAATATTCAGGGATGCACTTGTTCTTTTGAATTACCTATCCATTCCTTGCAATTTAAAATGGATTTTTATGCCCTTTTGACAGCTAAAATACTAATCTTACAACACTGGAAAGATAAACAGCCACCTTTAATAACACAGTGGAGGATTTATTTTGTCAAATGTTAAACAGGGAGCTTTTAGCCATAATTTACACAATGGATAAATATATGGAAAAATTGGGGTGCCTTTCTTGAAGACTATACATAGTTATTTCTTAACAATAATATGTTAAGAAATAACTATGTTATTAATGGGTATAGAGATATATGCTATGAATCTTTTTACATTTTATTCAACAATTCTAATGTTTCAGTTTTGTTCCTTCTTTAATGGTGTGGTGTGAGGGTTTCGTTAAAAAAGGGTTTTTAATTAAAAAGATTAATGAAAAATGATAGGCTAAAAGAACAACTTTGCAGCATCAATTCAGTGTAGGAAAGAATACTGGAATGTGTGGTTTTGCACTCATTTTGGTTGTAAGTTGCACTGGAAAAGGATATCTAAAGGAGATCGAGTAAAGCAAGAACATCCTGAGTTACACTGATTATTTTTTATCAAACAAAGTCTGCAGGCTATTGAAATAGCCAACATTTTGAACATGATTTAAAAGTTGATCAAGTACTATCATAATATAATAGTATCAGAAACAGCTGTTCAGCCCAAAAGAACAAAACCTGAAATAAAACAATGGTTGTGGAATTAACTATTAATCTAGTCGAGAGGATGAGAAGTAATGCCTCACTTTAATCTTTGGATGAGGAGCCCACAGTAGCTCACATCATCCTTCTCTCCATTTTATCCTCACAACAAACTGTGTGGCACATTAGGCTGACAGTGAACTCCGTGGCCCAGTGGAGACTAGAACCTGGATCTGCCAGGTCCCCAGTCCAGCACTTGCCACCACACCACACACCACACCAGCTCTCATTTGGGTGAACAGCTCACAGAAAAGAGGCTAATTGTATAGTATCCCCTCTTGAATTGTGCCTAACTTCTTAAATCTTACTAACAGTGATCAAATCACAGAATGAAACATAAAATATGAAATAACAAAAATATTAAGGCGAGACAACATCATTTATATAGATCGCACATGACAGTGAATGAGTGGAAAAGGGCTGAATTGATTCTAATCTAGTAATCAATGCATGGGAGACAAGAGAGAGAAAGGAGGCAGATAGAAGCAGGGGAAAACAAGGGAACATATACAGTTATTATATAGCATAAGGTTAATGGGAACCAAAAAAATAACAGAGGAAGCAGTAGCAGCTTCCATGAACAGGGTGTCCTGGGGATGTTGAAGTTGCTGTTCATGCAACTTGCCATTGCATTGTCCAAGAAGACTGCTCCTCTCTCTTTATAGTGTTCGTATACATGAACCACTCCTATAATCTGTTATGCCCTTCAGGGTTTCCCAAGGTTATGAATCCAGTTAAAGGACAGCAGTCTACACAGGATTACACTGCTTGGAGTTAAGTTACTTTGAGTGGTTTTGTCTGACCAGAACTCCTCTCCAGGAAATTAAGAAACAGTCTTGACTCATCATTAGGGAGTGAATTGTCAGAGGATATGTGATAAAGCTTGCACAGAATAATGCCTCAAACACAGTTTTTCAAAAGAGGGTGTGGAAAGGGAAACAATCCAGCAGTTATCTGAGCTGTTAAAAAAAAAAAAAAAATCTTCATGCCTTTTATTTGCTTTATTTAGTCCAGGGCATAGGGATGTTTGTTCCCAAGATTTTTCAGTCTTATAGCATGCCTTAATCTTTAGTTCAAACTAGTTTATGAAATTATCATAAATCCAGAGTATGCAAAGACTTATTTAAAGTTCAACTCCACCCCAAGCCAAGCAGCGACTTAATTAAAACAGAGGACTAACGGGCACAAAAGATTAAGGTACACTTTGAAAGCACTATTGGAACAGGAAGTGGGCCTTTATATAAATCCAGCAGCTTGAACTATGCTTAGACACAGAGAGTAGAGCAGTTAGTACATTAACAGACTGAATGAGGCCATGCCTCATACTACCCCACACAAAACTATGAAGGACTGCCTTCTGACCAGCTGGTTTCTCACCTGTCTTCATGGGTAGCTTCATGTAGAACACATGACAGTAATTAATTCAGTCTTGCCTTCTCCACCATCCTTCTTTGAAGCAGGTCTGTCCTCCTGTCCTGTGATCAAACATGGATTTGCTATGTGTTTTGGATCAGGATGCCTGAAAGGTGACCATCATGGCAGGTAAAATGGCAAGATAAATGGGAAGCAGGTGGCAACCCACATGCTAACTCTGATGCCACTCTGAGAAGTCAGTGACAGAGATGAGAACTGAAAGTTAGGCTACTAATGCAGAATCTTTTGTCACCTTTTGGACTTTCCAATAGCATTCTTCTCAGGTCATACAGGAAAATATGAAAAAGACATGGGAATATTCTTTCCTGCTGTTAATTTCTAAAACTTAGTAAATGAGAGATTAGTCCCCAGGAGGGCCAATATGCAACCTCTGACAGTGGTTTTCTTTTGTGTTCTTGTGCCTAAAGAATGTTTTACCAAGACTGGAAACTTGTATTAATTTGATCAGAGAGAGACTCTGGTGGTCGACAGTTTTCATTTTATTTCCAGCAAACTGTAAGTTGTTCATGCAGGCTAAATTGGTGAGGAAGCCGATGTGCAGACAATACTTCTTTGTAATGGGGAACGGTATTCCAGGTGCTTCCAGCCATGTGCTAAAAATCAAAAGGAGACAGCCTAGGCATTACACAAGTTTTAAATATATCAGCAGTGTTACAGTTAATGAAAAACTCTAAAAATTGAGAGCACACACAATCTTACCTGCCAGCACATGAAAATGTGGTCATAGTACTAGACAAGACTAATCCAAAGCATACCTTCAAGGAAATGAATCCAACTGAACTCAAATGAATTGACTAGACATATAACATCTTGGAGTCACAACCCAGCACATCTAGATTGGCCAGGTTGGCAAAGTCTGGCTCAGGAAAACAGGAACAAGCTTCTCCTTTGCATGCCAGTTCTGGCATTTCAGTCCTGTTCTGTTTAAAACAGTTTCACATGATACCTTAATTGGGGAATTCTGTCATAGAGACCAATGACCAACCAGGATCAAACCATGGTTTATGATCCAGTACATGAGCCACAGATCTGTAACAAACCAAGTTACAAGGTATTAAATAAAAGTTGTGTGAAACCAAGCTTGGTCATTAGATAATATTTTCCTTTCAATGCATTTTATGATGGGAGATTCTGCATTCTTAGGTGGCATGGCAAAAAGCAATTTTTAGATGTCAGTGACCAGAGTTATCAAACAACTATCAAAATTCCCAGCAGTCTATTACCCATAAAATGCATGTATGGAATAAGTAAAAAAGACTGCAGAAATAACCAGTCTGTTAATAATTCCTATTTGAATATGGAAAGTACGGCAGAGACTTTCTGTGAGTCTTACAGAAATGTTCTGTATTCTTTTAACGAAATCCAGTGTTCTCTGGATTCTATCAAGCTGAGTATACAGCTGATAAGGAAGTTTCTGTGAGCTGGAATGGAAGTCAAATAACAATAAAGGATGACAGCATGCTTTCCAAACTTGGTTTTTATATTCAGGGTGTTCAGATAGACAAGTAAGAAAGCTTATACAAATTTGAATTGATAATAGCTTTGTCATTAACATTGATGAAAATGACAGTACTGCTACAAACATATACAGTTCAGCATCTATGTCACAATCACACATTTATTTGGGCATTTAAAATAGGTACATAAAACCCTGACAAATAATTACTCTTTACAAACCCCATTTGCTGCTCCCTTTTTCATGAATGTCTTCTCATCAGCAGAGTCCAACTTTTCCTAAAAGCTAAGCAACAGCTTCAGTCTTGATCTGCACCATTTTATCTCTGATTTCCAAGTTCTCTATCCCAATTCCAGAAATTAGGGTTAGACCGAAATGGGTTTACACACAGACAATTCACATACATGTAAAAGATGACCAGCATGAAACTGAGTTCTGTACAATCTACCCAAATGCCAAATAGATTTTCTGCAGGCAAAACGAGTAAGTCACCTTTGTGTATAATTTTCTGGAGGCAGAGCAATGAAAACCTACCCAGCATTGAATAGTTTAGGATACAACCAATTGACTTCAGTACAGTCTCACTGTCTTTTAAAGCGCTCAAATGCACAGAGTTTAAGTACCCTAAGACAGTGGCTGATATAATACAACATTTAATAAAATTTACACACTGGAATGGTATCACACATAACGTAAGAGACAGTTCCAGCAATGAAGACCAAGAGCTTCTTCCCATACAGAGCTCTGTTACAAACGTGCATAGCCAACTCCTCTTCCTCATGTCCGTTTTTCAAGAGTTTTTCATTTTTTGCAGCCAAAGGAGGGCATCCCTCCTTTACTTCCCAAAACAGTGCTTTTGGCACATCAAAAGAAAACTCTCTCGGGTCAAGTCTAGTCTCTTCACTGCACCTGTCACTGCTTTGCCTTTTTCACTATGGTGCCAACTGCAGAGATCACTGTTGTTTTGGAGCCACTGGCACTGGTGGTGACTGTTACAACCGCTGGCAGCGTTGCAGTGGTGGTGAGGATGGTGGGCTGAGCTATTGTTGTCACGGGAATGGCAGAATCCCACTTGCTTTTCCTCTTCTGTGCATCTGTGCATGGAACAGGCAAAGATAACAACTTTTAACTCTTGCTGGGTAAGATCTTTTCACTCTTCATATCTAATGAAGAGGCATTTGGCCACCTTACTGCACTTTAATGTGCTGCTGGGATCCAGGCACATGCTTGAACAAGCCCTCCAGATTATTAGGTACCTACCAGTGGAAGGCTAGTTATGTCAGACAGAAGATTCTGCAAGTCTACCCTTCTATCTCACATACTGTTTTCCCACAAGGAATACTTAATGTGCAGAAATATTTGGAACATGTACTTCTTAGACTGGCTTTCTGAAGTGAGGCAGTCCCAACAACAGCATGCAGCTCAGGATGGAAGGCAATCTGACTGTACTGGAAACCCCACAGCTATTTATTTATGCTATATTGGTATCATATAGTTGTAGATATATAGTCAAAGCAAGCTTAGAATAAGCACTTCAATATAATAAACTATATATAGCTTGCTGCTATGCAAATTGAGCCTACTGAGATCCTATTCCCTTACCACTATCAATTTGTCTTATGCTTAACACCTTAACTGTTGAACCCCCATATATACACCTATACCTTTCTTTGCCCTTTACAGAAAGACCAACCTTGAAAGATCCCTGATTAGAACAATTAATAGGCAGGAGCATAGGAAACTGGCTTATATAGAGACCTTATACAGCAGGTCTGTCTAGCTTTATATTGCCCACACAAAAGACATGCAATCTTGTCCTGTTCCGATATTTGGACTATAGCTCTTTTCAGCCTCAATCAGCACAGCCAATGGCCTGAGATGATGGGGGTTTAACACAAAGTATGTGCAAAGCACCAAGTTGCCTTTTCCTGGCTTTTAGGCAGAGGTCTTTCCCAGCCCACTCTAGAGATGACATGGACTGAATTTGGTCCTTGATATACAAAGCATGCATTCCATCAATGAGCTATGGCCCTTTCCATTAAAGGGAGAATCCCTTATTCACATGCATTTCCTGATCAGTTTTCAAAGTACTCCTCTGTCTTCACTGACAGAAAAACTGATCAATACAGCTAACACTACCAACCTGCAGAATTTGCTTTGTGACCTTTCCCAAAGAATTCCAATCAAGTCCAAGGGAATTGCTATTAAAAAAAAATCCTCTAACTTTCCCCCAAACCTTTGTCACAGAATCTTTCAAGCTATATTTCTTCCTAAGAATACTTGAATTCCACAGGCAAGATTATATCTGGCAGTATTCAGTCTCTGCTCCCACTGTTACTGTCATGCTCACAGGACTGACTGCAGGTGAAACAGGAACTAGCACTTCCCAGAGCAGCCTTGGAAATGAGTCGAAACATCCATTTCAGTAACACGAGAAGCCAGCAAAGCTCCTTACTGGAAGCTCTGCTGACTTGTCCCATTATGGAAACTAACTTTTGTTTCTTAGTGCTACAGCTTCTCATTGTACTAGTGGTGGGTTCTGCTAGCGTACGAGCATAATGTACTAGCATGGATATCCTTATTCATGTTGGAAGCAGAATGTAAGCTTTCTGTTCACCAAATCCTTCCTACTGCAGAATCTAAAATTTGATGCAAATTTTTCAGCTACCAATTACCAGTTTTCCTCCCTTTAAGTGTCAAAAAGGATGTAGGGCATATTAAGGAGGATTTTCACAGCACCTATGGGCTAGTAAGTAGCTTTCCAAGTTTGGATGCAACAGAAATTCAATGCCAAGAAGTTTAATTTACCTCCACCTGCAGTGCTGGCTGTTGTAGTGGTTGTAGATGGAGCATTTGTTGTCCCCTTCTTAGTGCCTGTTACAAATTCAATCTAGAAAAGAACAGGAATTAATCACATTCTGTATACCCAATGCTCATTAAATTAAATTAGGAGCACAGCATAAATGTTAAATGTGCCAATATCTTTGTTAAATGTGCCAAAGACAGACAACTCTCAAAGATCAGAGATTCAGTAAATGAAACACAGTTATGACAAATTAATAAGAGGCAGAAAATCTTTGCATGTATATATACACCACAAATATGACCATTCAAACTCAGGTAATATCATTTCTGATGAAAAAATCTTGCTCCTTTCTTAATCAGCATAAGAGACTTTAAACTAGAAACTCATGATCCTTAACAATTACATAGCAGGACTGAAGCTTCTACAATGCGTGTTTCTACATGTGTAACTCACATCTTCTACATTACAGATGGCAACCTAGCAACAAAAAACCCCACAACAGTCTGATCACATGCCTAAAAAAGTCTACAGTCATGGGAGAAGGAAGACAGAACCGCAGAACTGCAGACTTTACTGTGCAGAAGTAAAACAAAAGAGGCAGAGGAATCAAGGCAAAATGTTTGCCACGGGAATGTCTACCGCTAGAAAAATCTTATATACTCATGTAAAATCTCATACAGCAGTTCATGTGACTTAACTACTTTGGTAACGTACACTAACTGACGTCTCACTAATTTAGTTACTGTGCTCTAGATGGAAAGGAATGGGATGATTCTGGAATGAATTATTTCCTTAAAAAGTTTTCAAGGCAAAAAAAAATCAGATTACTGAGTATCCATTTGCAGTATCACAAGAAATCTTCATGTTCTTGCTTAACAAGACAAATTTCTGACTTGTTCAAACTGACTAATACAAGGTTAATTAATAGTCATAAAAGAGAAGATACATTATGCTCATCAGAAGAGGCACTGAAAAAGTAAACAAACACTGCATTCCAGAATAGCTAAGGCTACCTTAGTTCGCTCCTTCTTGGCCTTTTCCAGCTTGTCCATTTCAATTTTCTGTGCTTTTGCTGAAATGAGGCCCAAGACAGTAAGTACATGTAACAGAGTCAACAACATGAATCAATTCTGAGTACTGGCTTCAGCTTCCCAGGATAAAAGCAGTGCAGCATTTAAGAAGCTATTATAGAGTAGGAATTGTTTTTGCTTCCCAAAGTAATATTTCCAGAGTAAAGGCCTTTCCATTAAAACATGCACTCCACAGAGTATAACTTGCATGCTGCAATTTCCTCCTGGTCCGACAGAGGAAATGGTATTACTCCTATATTGCACTGAGCTGCTTAGAGTAAACACACCACACAAATATATAGCTTTAGCTAAGCAACTGCTAAAGTTCCAGTATCATTCACAAATACCAAAAAGGGTATCAAAAAGGAAGTCTGACTACCTAGTGCTTCATAGTAGGAATCTTCAGACCATCCATGAGGATCAAACATGTCCTAAATGAGAAAAGGAAAAAAGAGTCCTGTTACACAGGTATAAACATAAAATATAGTGAAATTTGATAAAAGAACTGGCTGATTCTATATTCCAGCTTTTAAAAAAAAGTTTACAGACCCTGCACCATTATTCTAACAACCAGAATTTAAAGGGGCAAGAAAGATGGTGCTGCTAGAGGGATAGTACGTTCAAAGGACTAGTGGTCTTAGATAAAGGAGTCACTGGAGAGGATTGTCTAAAAATCTGGATCAGGTCCTATCCTTTTCAAATTTTAAACTCTCTGAAAGAGTTCAAGGGTGGTGTTTGTTTTTTTGTTTTTTGGACACCTGGTTCAAAACAACCATTGGGATATGTGACTCAAAATACCAACAGAGAAGGGATGGAAAATGTGTGCCCTTCCAGGTATTGTTGGACTACAGCTTTCATTATCCATCAACATTGGCTATGCTTGATAAGAACTGCAATCCAACCACCTTTGGAGGGTCACATATTCCCAATCCTGTAACAGCTTGTTGAGATGGTGCTAGATCCATGTTTAGATAGAAAGAGCTCTTCCTTCACTTTTAGCAATATATCAAATAATATACTGCAACACTGCAACTGCTACTACTTTAGGTCATAACAGACAGTATCCTAAGACACAAGATAGGAAGTTGCCCCTCTTTAGCAGGCTATTTCATCCACCAGCCTACATGGCAAGAGCCTGTTTTCACAGTCAAAATGAGAAGGAAGAGTCCAGAAGTTGTAATGAACTAATCTCATGAAAATGTTATTTCATCAACTTACCTTGGGATAATTTGTACCAAGTTCATCAATAGCACAATACTGGATCAATTTCTCATAGATGCTGAAATAAAGCACGCCAATATATTATTTCTAGAGTTCGTTTAGTTGGCTATTCAAATCTAACAGTGCCAGTGCAATCTGGCACTGAAATATTCCCTGCATACTGAAAGCCAGCATGGTATGGAAAACATGCTCTTCTAGTTTGTTATGCCCAGGGAATATTGTTATTGTAGGGGTAAGAATTTTATTATCGGGGCGAGAGCATTCAAAATCAGGTAAGGCCCTGCCCTGAAGTGGTACAGTTCAAAAAGAGATTTATCATCACAGTGAGAACTAAGAGTCAAACTGGACATTATGTGCAATTCTATGTCCACTTAGTTTGTGTAGCATGTATGAATGATGTGGTTCTTGGTTATCAGCTTTTATTCTCTCTGCTGGAAATGTTAATGCTCCAAATTAATATTGTGTACTTTAACAGTACTCTCAAAGACCTTCTCATGTCTATTAGCCTTTGTGAATTGCTTACTTGAACCTAGTGCAATTGTGAAGAATCCTCAATCTTTTGTGGGTGACCATATGTCAAGCCACAGCTTATAGATGTTACATGGCTCTGATGTTTTACTAAGAACTGCCAGCTGAAGGGAAGAAATTCTGCCACCTTCACTCCAATCAATGAAATTTCACATAAATTTAATCAATATTAAAAATATAAGGAGAGCTATGCAGATCAGGCCAAGGCTCCATCTAGTCCATAATTATGTTTATACAATGGTCAACAGCTGCCCGTGGAAAACATAATTCCGAATTATGCCCAATGTGGAGCTTGCATTTTTCAAGCACCTGCACATTAGATTGACATTTTCATTGAGCTGTGCATCACAACAATTTAAGGTGCTGGTACTGACCTATAAAGCCCTAAATGGCTTGGGACCAGGATACCTAAAGGAACACCTTTTTCCCTACATGCCCACCCGCCCGTTAAGAACTGCAGCAGAGGCCCTTCTCCGGGAATCCTCCTTGAACTGGTTAGGAGGGAACATACTCAGAGGGCCTTCTCTGTGGTGGTGTCCCGGCTATGGAATGCGCTCCCCAGAGGGGTCCACCTGGCGCCAACATAATAATGCTTTTCGGGCCAGGTCAAGACCTTTTTATTCTTCTGTACTTGTAATGTTTAATTTTAACTATGTTTTTATGCTCAGCTTGTGGATCATTTCTATTATTTGGGTATCTATGTATTTATGGGATTTGAACTGTAAGGCATCATGAGACCCACTGGGTATTGGATGGGGTAAAAATACCTAAATACATACATACATACATACATACATACCCCAAGATTTCTTTCCTATTTATATATATTCAGATTCTTGTTTGGGATCCACATTTCCAGTGTACTTTGCCATCACTCTATTATATTTAGTTGCATGATTCTAGAAACTTTAACTGGGAGTTTTACGCTGCTAGCAACATTTCAAGGCTTTATGTGGCTTGCAGGACATTTGGTGTGACCAGTGCTTTGAACTTGGTAATATACTAAGTATGTATCCCCACAAAGATTCTCACCTGGGGTTGCGGAACTCTTTCTTCCTTTGAATAATATAGTTCATGTCCATGCCTTCTTTTATCTTTCTCTCGTATAACTTTTGTATCTTGTCCTACATATAAAAGGGTCATAGAATCAGTACTAATGAATGAGAATATTCAAACAAATTTATACTGAAAGAACAGTGAAGTATCATTGGAAGGAAACACAAGTTGCTCTCTACTAGTAGTTTTGAATTACTGGGAACCACACCCCTTTGTAAAAGTTTCTGTCTTTCACCAGAATGCATATGATTGATGATATTAAAGACAGGAGAGCTCCTGTTCCCACCATGACAGAACTAGCAGCCTTTTTCAATGGATGTCATATTCTATGCTATGTGGTATGATCAGGACCAAGCCGACTTCTACAACTGTCACCACCACGAATCCTATTAGAGAAAACACACACACACCCCATAATTTCACAGAAGACATTAAGTTCCAGGTGATGTACTGGGATTATAAGTAGGAAAAGTTAGAGATCAATGGATCTGACTTATAATACTTACTATGTACAGTACAACACAACTCTTAAAATATTTTGCAGGCCCTGAAGTGTCAGTTTTCCAGGCCAGGAAAACAAGGCTATGTACCAGACTAATATAGAAGTGAGCAAAGTCTTCTGAGCAATTTTGCAAAATCAGAGATCTTAAAATTTGATTTGTATAGAATTTAACAGCACTTGAAGAACTCAAATTGAAAATGTCAATTGCTATAAAATATGAAGAGGTCTTATGCAGGAATGCAACTGAGAGAAGCTAGGAACAGCAGTGTAGTATATTACAGGGCACTTCAACTTGAACATTGGGTTCCTTATGGCTTAAATCCAATGTCATCTTAACAGAAATTTCCAGACTTTCAGACTTTGAAGACACAGGTTGTATGTGGTGGTGGGGGTGGGGGGAATCACCCCACCAGGTTCAGCTCCTGCTTCTATCAGCAGAATATCAGAATTAGATTTAATCTATTATGTCTGCACTGTTTGCCAAGCAAAAGCTCAGTGAAAATTGAATGGATAAAGCAGAAGAAAAATTTCCATTTCAAATTAATTTCACTGCCTATCAAATGTTAAGTAACAGTGTAATAAAGCATCTAATGCAACTTTTATCCAATATAACATGCTCTTGGGCAGAGATCTTCCCTTAGTCTCAAAAATGTGGCTGCACCAATTAAGTTTTATACAACACGACTTCATGTTGCTGCTACAATTTTGGCTGAGATGTCTGATATAGGGTTAAAAGCTTGGTTTACTTCTATACGACTGGAACAATTTCTTGATGACAAATGGATAAATCTATGCCACTCCTCAAATTTTAATAGAGAAGACCACTTCTGTAATAGACTCAAAGACATTTCTAATGTATAAGGTGATACTTGCAGAACCAAGCCAGTACACTGTCAAAGCATTGTTAACAACTGAAGTTTCATATTTAAGATTCATTTTGTGAATGCAATCAATAGTAAACTAACCATGTGGGGGTGTGGACCAAAAGAAAAGATGGAACTAGCACCTAGTATGTTTGGGAGTATCTGAACTGGACCTGAAATTCTGCAGAAAGGTAGTTTTACATTTTAACTGTGCAGCATGCAACAGTTCTACTTGAAGAGAGCTGAAACATTAGAAAATGCACACATGTAAAAGAGCTTTCTTCAGATCCTTGCACTAAAATACTGTATTTCTCATGCCCTCTTAGTGACAAATGTGTGCCAGGAAGCACCTAACAAACAGGGAAGAGGTTTTATTGCATTCTAGGGCTTCACCTGGCTTCTGAATGTTTTACAGACTGCAATCATCATTCTACACCTTCTTTGCAATCATTATTGATCACTTTGTTGTCTGCACCTGTCCAGCAGTTAGCCCTTCTTTGTTTGTCAAATTCAGATACTGAAGGATGAGGCAGCACTGCCGAAAGGGCAGCATGACCGCAGTTAATTGGCTTCCGCAAGCAGCAAGACTGGTTTATTGGGAGCAGAATACATACAGCTCTAGGTTGATAATGCCTGTTGGCATTTTCTCATCCCCACTCAATCACTGGAGGGAGGATTAAGTTTTAAGTATTTACACTGTTCTCTAAAATGATACCAATGGTATCCCAAATTAATTTGCTAACTGCCTGATTTTAAGAACAAAACTCATGTGTTTTATTTATAGGCATACGTAGGTGGAGAAGGAATTCAGCTGCTGCTGCCTGGAACAGTTTAACCAAAAGGCAATAAATACTTCCTTTAACTGTATGCAGGGTTGGCTATATGGATTTGAAATGTTTTTTTAGATCATTTAATATGAAATTTACATTCTCCATCTTAAAAAGTTCATTCAGCAAAGAGGGTTGTGAACTGCTTATTGTGAGCTCTGCGGCTTGGTGTATTTGGAAGTAATATGATTCCATTCACACCACAGATAATGCTGGAGGCACTTCCTCAATCAGTTATTAATTATCATTAATAATGTATTAATGCTGCTCATTCTTGTTTGTGCTAAACATGTTTTTTGAAAGTGGAAAATTAATGAGCTTTCCTATACATTTAATTCTGTATTGTGATACCTAGCCTGTCCAGGTATTGTCTTCCAAAAACCATTTTAAAACCTCTTAATGCAGCAAGAATCTTCAAAATTGCACCAGATGACTGCTAGATATATTGTGCCCATATGGATAACTACAGCAGCATCTTGAAGCCATCCACCCTCTGCTGCTTTTAAATGACACCTAAGTAGGTCTTTCAGACAAGTATCCACCCTTAATTCTGTCACAAACTTTCTACTGAGAAAAGTATTGCCTGCAATTCAACATTACCATGTGTACACAACCAACAGCAACCTCTTTGTGTGCTTCTAGTATGCCAATTGTGAGTCATAGGACCAGGGGCTGTAAACTCACAGCAAAAAGACAAAGGCTGGCCCAGAAATAAGATGAAGAGGTACCACTGACACTGATGAAGCTCCTCCTTCCCAAGTGATATGCAAAATGAATGAAGCAGACACTTAGGAGTTGTATGTCAACACTTCCCCACCATTTGGAAGTCATGCTGCCATGTTCATGGTACTGCTGGATGAGTAGCATTACCATTAGAGATGGCCAACTTGTACCAGATACCAAAGTGGTTGTTGTAATTACATCACAGACTTACATTTCAAACTTACACATTTTTAGACTTATCTGGGGAAAGACTCCTAATAAAAAAACCTGAATGCAGACAAGACATGGGCTTTAATACTGATAATCCTTGTGTGAGTAATGGGCACTTCCACTTGGGAGTACTACTTCTCTCTTAGACAGACAGAGAAGGAAGCCTCAGTTTCCATCACATCTTCCCTCCTTCAGCTTCAGCGCCACCTGCCACAATGCATGCCATCTGAGAGAGTCTAAGTCTTCTAGGGGTGGCTTTTCAGAGGCCTGGCAAGGGCTGCACCGGGAAAGAAAAGCTTTGTTGTGGTTCTTCAGATCCAGATCTATTTCATTTGCAGAGTTCCAATAAGTGAGGTCAATAGCATGGTGAACATATAAGCTTAAATCTGTTTACAAGGCTGGGGCAAAATAAGCAAGCAGGAAATGCAGCAAATTTTGTGAAATCTTAAACTAAAGTCAAGAGCAAGAGATGCATCATCTCTGATGGTGGTAAGGAATAGAATAAAAAATGAAAAATGAAAAGACTCACTTGTAAGTGGTTTGAACATCTGCCTGGGGGTTCTGCGGGGATTTTGATCTCATCAGGTGACATGTTTCTTACTCGTTCAGAAAAAGAGGCTGGGATGAGAAAGAAGGACATTAGATCAGCATTTAGCATTAGAGATTTTTCATAGAATCATAGAATAGCAGAGTTGAAAAGAGCTGTGAAGTCCATTGTGTCCAACCCCTTGCTGTTGCAGGACACCAATTTACACCAATTTATAACAGCTGCCTTCCAACCTCCAAAAATGGACAACCCAATACTGTCAAAAGTTTCTGAAGTCTGAGGAGAAAGTGCATTGGCAGACATGCAAGAAACTGGAAGGAATTTGCATAAAGTTTGTAAATACCCTGTACCCGGTTCAATGCTTCTAACCATGAACAAAATCTAAGGCTTTGGTTTTGGAAAAATATTCTGTTTAGAATAGGGCTGACAACTAGGTCATGTATACTACAGTACATGGGTCCTCAAATTACGGCCCGGGGGCCGGAACTGGCCTGCCATGCCCATTTATCAGCCCCGCCTCAGAGGTTTACAACGCGCTGCGTGCGTGCCCGCACACCATGTGCATGCCCGCCTTGCCCCCCACGAGGGGAGGCGGTGGCTTGCTCGCGTGGAGATCCTTTTGGACTCACTTGGAGAAAACAATCTCCAAGCGAGCAAGCCGCTGCATGGCGCTCTCCCGCCTCAGCGCCCACATGCCCCGCCCCCGCTCTGGCCCATGAGCCCTGCTGATACCACCTTTCCGGCCTGCGTCGAGCACCTCTACTTTTCAGCTGGCCCCCTGGTGAAAAAGTTTGAGGACCCCTGATATAGCATATTAAAAAATAAAATAAAAAATAGTTTCTTCTTAAAACAAATGGACAACCACACATTTCTTGTTCTATTCATTACAAACAACTTTAATGTTACCCTGATAGTGAAGAACTGTATGTATAAATAAAATATTTTGTGGACAGTAGTCCACCCTAACAGATCTTCTTCAAGAGCTATCTTTTAAACTCTACAAGTCCAGACAAAGATCCATGAATTTCTGGAACATGAGGTTAAAAAAGACACACACATCACCCAGAACATTGAGAAGTGTAACCAATGCCTCCCATGGCCTTTAGATATATCATTTAACTTGAGTGATCAGGAACCTTGGCACTGATGTGCGCACACACTGTTATCTCAGAACCCTGTAACCTTCATAATGGGAATGAAGGATGTCACATCTTCCAAGCTTGCCGTGCAGTCATATGGACAAAAGTGATTTTAAAAGTTATAGGCCAAGTTTATGAAGGGCCTGAAAAGTGTCTTACGTTTGTAGAAGGAAGATAAGCAGGCTTCATCTCATATGCTGCCCATTACTCATTTAAAATGCATTGCAACTGCCAAAATGAGGGCATAACCTAACTGTCTGCATTTTCCCAGTTTTGTTCTTAAATACATATGGATGGATTGTTGGCAATCGAGAACATTAGAACTGCAATGCATCTTACAAGTACAGGGTAAAGGCCACTTTAAAAGGGGCATTCCTTCAAGACTGCACAGTGTACCACATACTCTAGTCCTTTCCTTGGCATCAGCCAGTAAGTATCTTGAATCCTGGTCTGAACAGCTCAGACAATATGCTGTTTGTGCACAAATGCTTTACCCTGAGCTTCAAAGCAGACTGCTAATATTAACAAAGGAGGCAGGCTAGGGGCAGTCATTATGGAAAGGAGGAAAGTGCTTTTTCATTACATTCTGCCATCTGTAACGGTAATGCAATTGGAACCTTCCGAATTTTAGGGTAGCAAGTTTATATCGTGAAGAGCTTTCTTTCCCCAGCTGAAATGTTTAATTCTTTTAGTAATGGCAAGCACACTTTCAAGCATGTGGGCAGCTGCATTCCACCACCCGCTTCCAGTTAATATTGAGCGTTTTACTCATGCCGGTCTAACTCTGCCCAAGATGTAACCATGCATCTGCGTCTAGCTTTTTTATGACAGTTGCCTGTTGTGTGTGCACCCTCCATGTCAAAAGGCAAAAAACACCTGAACTTCAGTTTGAAATTACAGCTTTTCCCCCTTCCTTGCGAATTTAGGACCAGCATCCTCCACCATGTTGTGCAGCAGGATGTTATTTAGGGTTAAATTCTCTAGGAGCCACAAATAACGAAGAAACGTCCTTTGGCATTTCCAGAGAATGCGCTTTTATAAAGAACAGAGATCTTGCCAACAGAGAAACAGCCTGGCTCCAAAGCCCCTTGACAACAAACTGCAGATTTGTTATGGGTTACAAGGCTGGTGCCGTGTAAGAGAGAGATTGCGGGGGGTGGGGTGTTGTTGGGGAAGACAGCTTTTAATTAAGATTTTTTAAAGTATATGCGTGTCATGGGGGAGCAAAAACAAATGTGTTTAGCTACAGTGGGGACTAGGTTATTTGAGAAAAGATGAAATGCAGTGATTTTACATGGGATTCATGAGGAGGAACAGAGAACAGGCTATCCCAGCCTCACCTGAAATTAATAGGGAACTTGAGTTTATTCAACCTATCTGCATTCTAGGCTTTTAAAATAGCATTCTACAAAACAAATGATCCACAGTAGGAGCTCAGGGAAACTGGCACAGAAGCACCATGTCAGAAGGATGGTCTTTATGATTAAGCTACAAATCCTGTTTTCTTCTAATTATTTGCCTCTAGGTAATTTTGCATCCCTTTGGAAACTTTCTCAGAGACCTGTTCTCCCCTGCAGAGGAAGGCAGGAAGCGCTCCAACGGAGCAAAGCTCAGGGAACCCAGGTTCCATTTAGATGCCAGGAAGCACTTGGGTGTGGAATGGGCTTCCACGGGTGGTGGTTCAGGCCCCATCGGTGAGGGTGTTAAAAGACAGGCTGGACATGCACATGGTGGGCATGTCATGAGCGGAGCCGGCTGGAGCCGGGGATCAGACTAGATGGCGGCTTGCTCTTTCTATGTTTCTAAATGCAGTACTTCCTAAGTTTAATAAACTTCTTTGGTAACAAAGAGGTTGATATTTTGACTCTGGAAGTTTTTTCACTCTTTTACTATGGTTAGGTTGAAGCTGAGCATGTGAGAAATATCACACGAGACTCTTCTCCCTTATTCTGATATTTGGGAAAGGCTTCTGATTTGTTTTAATATTTTAGCTTCTTTATTTTCACTCTGTTCTTTTGGCCTCTGTGTGTGGGGCATGCACCTAATTAGTAAATGGTTGACAGAAATGTACTTTGGCACTTCTTAAATTAATACATCAGTTGGATCCAGACTTAGAGTAGATCCACTAAAAATAGCTATTCATGATTAAAACTAGTATCAATAAGTCTATCCTGAGTTGAATTGAATCTGGATCTACCCCAAAGGGAACAAAAGGGATGAAATAACTATAAAAGTATGCAAGAAAAACAGGGTAAAAACACATAGCTGTATAGAAAATAGACTATGGCTTCTAAGCTATTTTAAGTTACTTTTCTTCCTCTTGTGATAAGATTACAATTAAATCAAAGCAGCAGGAACTTAAGTAAGAATTAGTTGAGAAGTTTCAATTCTAATCTTATTTAAATCCCCATGCACCATGTGCATGGACATGGATTTAATTTTATTAAATCCCCATGCACCATGTGCATGGACATGCACATGGTGGGCATGTTGTGAGTGGAGCCGGCTGGAGCTGGGGGTCAGACTAGATGGCCCAGGAGGCCCCTTCTGACTCACTCTGTTTCTGTGTTTAAATCAAGCCTGTGGGTTGTATCAACCACTAGTCCTTTTTACCATTCACAGAGTGTGAAAAACAAAAGATGTATTTTTTCCACCTGTTGTCTTCACAATTTTTCCACCAAAAAAGCACAATAAATTTCTGATACTAGGAGGTATTTTCTACACATTTATGTATTCAATATCTTGTTACTTCTGCAAAGATCAAGCTTAACTTTTGCACAGTGAGTTGCAACTGGCTGTAACATTTGATTGGGTGTGTGAATCTTAACTTCCAGCCTAAAGAACACCAGACCAGGAATGCAGGAAGTTGACAAGAGGCATGAATCATCATTATGGGCACACCCAACCTCTGCCTTGTGAAGTAAATAATTATCCATACCTTACAGCTAAGGTTTTGACTAAGGGTTAAAGTAAGGTAATAGAAGCCAGGAGCAGCATGCATCAATAAGCTAGGACTAAACTGTAATCGGAAGTGACTCACTAGAATATTTCAAAATCAACAATATAGGAATCCCACCAAATTAACAGATCACCCACAAATCAATTTCCTCTAAATTCATTACCCAAATCAATACCCAAGTAATTCTCAATCCACTCACTTCCCCCTCTACCAGTCAACTCATCCCTGTCCACAAATTCTCTCTCCCTGGTAGCAGACAATCTACCCAAAGCATTTTGTTGCTGTGTCTACCATCAGCCTCTCTTTCTCTGGGCACAATCAAGCCATTGCAGTGGGCTGTGGTATGGGCAGGCAGCCATGCTGAATATTCAGGGCACAACTGCACCTTATCTAAATCTGGCAAGGTTGTTGGTGTGGTTAACAAACCACCCAGACACATGGGCTATTTTGGGGTTGTGGGTGCTTGTTAAGAGTACCAAAATGCCACCCCTCACTGCATGTGGGTAACACAACACATGGTGGTTGCAGCTTGAATATTCAAAATGGTTGCCTCACCTGTTCCACAGTCTACCTCAATGGTGTTTAATCACATGAACTGGCCAAGATAAAGTGAGGATGGAGACAGGGCTGCTACAATATTCATAAATAAATAAACCCTAACCTTAACCCACGGTGAGCTGCAGTGACTATAAAAACTGACCCCCTCACACACATATGCAAGCATACACACACAAGATCACCCCACAACACTCTCTCTTTTTAAGGAACCCTCCCCCATTCACACACAGCTGCTTTACTTCCCTCCACTCCAGTTAGTCTACTGCCCACCTTCTCACAAAATCCTACCAGAAGACTGGCAGTCCTTTCTGTTTATTTCATTACATTTTTACCAGAAGGTCAGCCCTGCAGCACAGCAAAGCACTGGCCTCTAGGCACCCACTGCATTTATGTCCTAAGAATAGCCTTGGGCCCACATGCCCAAAGGCATTCACTCTGCAGGATATTTAAAAATTTCAGTAGCAGAAGGGCACCAGGGGAGATGTCTCCAGGCTATGCAGATCTATATAGATAAGCAAAGCACAGGGCTGGGGTTGTGCAATGGTCAACAGTAATTTAACCTATTTGACAAGGTCAAGTACTGATGACAGACTCCAGCCAAGGTGCTGGAGCTAATGGAGTTTGTGGCTTGGCTTAGAGGGCAAGTTCCACAATTACTTGCTTGATTCTAGATTATGAAGTATCTCACTAATGCCTATCAATTTCAGCAACCATCTTGATCATCCCAGAATGAAGGACATGGAATAATGGGCTTAAGTTGCAAGAAATCAGAATTAGACAAGTTATCAGGAAAAAGAACCCCATTAGAACAGTAGGACAATGGAACCAATTACCTAAGGAGGTTGTGGGTTCTCCCACACTAGAGGCATTCAAGATCCAACTGCACAGATATCTGAGTGGAAAGGTGTAACCTGATGTCCTGTACTAGCCCCTTCTAGTCCCCTTCCAACTCAACTATTCTGTGATTCTATTAAAATAATGGATAATTAGCTTTCCCATCTGTTTTCTATTATAATTTCAATGGTGTTTACCATTATAATGACCCTCTGAAGATAATAAGAAATATGAGCAAGCTGAACAACAATTCGAAAACTCCTTTGATATCTATGATAGGGTCAACAGTAACAAACTGCAAAAGGAGAGATTTGACTGCTACATTAAAAGTATGGAATGAGTGCACAGGCTTTTAAAGAGAAATTACTCACGCTTGTAAGATGGAGGGGAACCCCATGGCCCAACAATGGGGTTTGCTTTAGGAGCATTCCAGGATTCTAACATTTTGCTAGAGGGCTATTTATCTTGATTTTGTTTGCATATTGTATTATTATAGGCTAACTGTAGATTATATCATTTGCTTGACTTTCCTGTACATTACTATTATTTTCTACAATGAAGGTCAGACATTCACAAACTGAAATCTCTTTATACATTTGTGTCTGCTTAGACTACTGTTCCCCCAAGATAAGCATAAAAGCAAGAAGGAAGCATGGGTTTTGAACCTGAATACTCTTCAGTTTCAGACAGAAAAGACCAAGATTTATTTGTATCTTGGGGATACAACAGTGCTATAAGGAAATATATGCAACATCCATACATGACTGAGTCAACCAATTTTAAAAGGATATTAGTTTCTTTGGGGCAACAACAGTGCTATAAGGAAATATATGCAACATCCATACATGACTGAGTCAACCAATTTTAAAAGGATATTAGTTTCTTTTGGGATGTGCAGGGATGCCTTGCAAAAGCTAGACAAAGGCTATAGAGACTTCTCTCCCTTTTTCCTCCACACGTTTCCCCTTTACATTAGACAGCTAGAATAGGGAAAGGGTTAATATACCTCTTCAAAGGATGTATAATTGGCATAGAGACCTCCACCTCTAAACAGCTGTGACAATATTATATATTATTAATTAGCACAATATGTTCAATGCATGCATGCAGGTTCTGCAACTCTGAAATGTCTGAATGTTGTAGCCTGTGCTTTGCAGAGTCTGAAACTTTTGCTATAGGGCACAGAGAACAATGGAGGGATTCTTGTATAATCTCACAATCATTTCTAACCTTGGAAATGAGTTGTCCATTTCCACCCAGTAATTTTTCAAAGGGGTAGGCCTACATCAGGAAAGAAGAAATGCATCTTTATTTTACAAAGGCAATAAAGCCAACTCTGCCTTGCACTGAAAGTGATACAATGCAGAGGAACTTTTGCATCCTCTGAATTACATTGCTTTCAATGGGATCTGCATTCCAAAGCAAAGGGGCATTGGACTGATTGCCTCATAGATAGGCATGAATTCCCTCTTTCTCTCATACCTGGCCAGCAAAAGCATGGACTGCAAGTTTGCAAAGAGACACTCAAATACAAAACAAAACAACAGGGAAAAGTGGTGGATTTTTTTCCAGTGAATGTTTCTGTGCTCCCTGAAAGGGCAACTTTTAACTTGCAAATTGCATGTCATAAACGGTCAGCAGAGCACTAATGCTATGCCATTCACCTGCCAGGAAAAGCAGAGAAGGATTAAAAAAAAGGGTGAGAGTGCACACATGGCACATTTTCACTTATACTGACCAACAAGTTCCTGGGGATCTCTCTTCTCCAGTTCTGAAAAGTCCTAAGTAGAAAGGAAACAAACAAAATATTAGCATAAGTAATTAAAGGCATGTACTGTCCAATGCTATGCTGTAATCTGTCTGCCCTGACCTGGTACACTCCAGAACATACCTGGAGGGTACCAGGCTGGGGAAGGCTTCTATAAATATACTTTAGATTACATGTATAGACTGTAGATGCCAGAGATGCAGCTGAAAGCTTTATTTGAGATGACCCTATATCGGTCAACTTGAACTGCAGAAGTGCTAAAATTCAAATTAGGCTCCCACCCAAATGTATAACAGTTAGCAGTTTCAGCAACCAGTACCCATGGTACTGGAAAACTATTTCTGCTCTGAGGCAATTTAGGGCATTCTGCCTGCTCATTCATAAGTCAGCAAACGATCTATCCTCAAACAAGTAACACTGCATAAAATATTTCCATTACAATCATTACTGGGTGAGAAGTGTGTGTGTTTGCAGATAAAATTATTTGTTTCAGGGATGAGTAAGAACAAGCTATTCAGGACAAATGAAAGTCAGAAAAACAGGCTTGAAGAACAATTAGTTTCCTCTAATATAGATATTCAGTGACACCAACTATCAGTTTAATTTGTAAAACTTCAGGCCAAGGAAGTCTTAAAGGAAAGATTTACTCAGAATACTCCTGAGAATATTCTGAGTAAAGAAAATCACTATGCAGACAATGAGAAGCCAAAAACATCAGGATGAGGGAAGCAAGGCAAATAAAGGGAAAGGATAAGCAACAAGGAACACCAGTGGTTATTAAATTAACCCTAAAACAAAAGGAACTAAACAGTGGGAGCAGAATCATCCTGGCTCCATCTTCTCTTCCTCCAATAAATCTTTTGTAATTTGCCAAGATTCTTCCCAAATATCCACAGTTTCTCAAACACTAAAGCCATTCATTCAAATGGACAACTGTGGTCTTGTCGCCTAGCAATCGAACTATGTTACAACACTTCTATTTCACGTGAGCAAAGCAGGGCTTTTCAGAAGGCCAAGGTTCAGTAAACTAACTTGGAAATCTGCTCTGCCGAATCCAGCACAGCTACACACACAATTCTAAAGAGTCCCTGGGGGATTAAGAGCTGATGTTCTTTGTACCTCTAGCAACAGCAAAGTGGCTTTTTTGGCCTTTAGCTGAAAGAACACTGTGTGGCTACAAGATGGCATAGGTCCTAAAAACACAAGGCTATGGCTGTTTTAAAAAAGAAAATACATGTGGATGGGGGCACCCTCATTTCCACTTCGCCAGCTGGCTAAGGAATGACTTTGTTCTTTTACACTGAACTGCAGTAAGCTGGGCTGCAATTTCTCCCTAAGGTTTGTTTTTTATATAAACTACACAAATAGGAATTGCCTACATTTAACTGTGTATGAAAAAGGGTTCAAAATTGTAAGATGTCTAAATTCAGATACCTATACAGTCAAATTCTAAAGGAGAAAGGGGTATAATGGCATGGACATACTAACATGTTAAAATGTTGTGCAAGATACAAGGGAATAAATTTTCATAATGTTCAATCTTTATTTTAAAGATTACAGAGAACTTAAAATCTGGATATGTAGTAGGAGATATGTCAAGGACAAAGGTAAACTTGATGTACAAGTCTGTTAGATAATCAGCTGAAAAGACCTAAGAAAGGTATTGGCGATTAATTTTGAACACTGTGGCTGCAGCGTTAATTAAACCAACTATATGAATTAAAACCTCTTATATAGCCTAAAAGGAACTTCCAATCAACAACTGGATATCAAATTCACATTGTTTTAAAAGTAACTAAAATTAGCAGATGGCAAACATCATCTTAGAAGAAGCATTTATCCGCCACTTAAGAGAGGTGAGAATGTTACTTCTATGACATTTTTCACCAGCTATGACATACATATGCACCATCTAATCACAAAGCTTTGGACTGATATCCTGTGGAGACTTGTACTGGAATATGCAGTATTTGTCATTTCTCCCTTTCCGTTACAGCCCCCAACATGACCTCCAACACTGTTCTGGAGTGTCATGCTCTCTAGAGCACCATTTCAAGGAGCTACAGGGAGAAAAGGGAATCGGAGAAAATTATTGTATCCCTCCTCTAGGAGGGGAGTTTGTTCATAGGAACTCTGGATCCAAATACTAAAAATATACATTCCAGCTACCTGTTAATAGAGTAAGTTATCTGGATAGCAAATTTGGACATTTTTTTAAAGTCACATATTGTAGACATGGCTGTATCTATTTTTGACCAATAATGGGTTCATGACACATAAACTGAAGACTAAGCACCAGTCATATAACTTGCTCAGATATCACAGCAGTTGTTTTATGAAGGAGACTAACAAATATGGAACCAAAAAGGGATTTCACTCACAAATGCAACTTGAACCAACCTGAAGTTTACATTCAACCAACTGTTATGTCATTATATGCTGATGTAGAGCCAGTGTGGTATAGTGGTGAAGTGTGTGGAACCCTACAATATATCTGATTTTACTAATGATTAGCATCCAGATGAGACTAGTATTTTTAAAAGGGGGCACTCCTAATTTTTTTATGATTAGCCTCCCCCCCCCCAAGTTGTGGTTATGCTCAGGACATTTTTTTGGGAACCACAGGCACAAAAGGTTGGGAAGCTCTAGCGTAGTGTATGTGTATACTAAATATAATCTTCTATGAAGCACAACTCCCCAGACTCCACACTTCTAAAAATCAGTATTCAGGAAATGTACATCAGTATGACTTTTAATGACAACCTTGTTTGGCATACATAAGTTTCCACATATTATACAGATTTCAGTTTACATGTGGGTGAAGTGTAAAGCAGAACGTTTTGCTTTCCTGTGCAACAATGAGGGTGGGAGGAAAACTGCTGCAAGAAAGTCCAAAATATTTCCCATGGTTGTATCCTGTTTGCCAACTTTGTAATAAGACTGCAGGCCAAATGCCAAACTTAAGATCTAAAGCTAAACTTCTCTGGGGGTAAAATGCCAGGAAACAAAGCAGGTTATATTGCAGATCCTGCTAAGGGCAGAGAGAGAGAACATAAAGTATACCTTTGTAAATAAGATTTCAGCATGACAACTGTATTTATTCTGCAGAGGAAAGGTACAACAATATTGGAAGCATCAACTCCTTTAAGACCATAACACATCATATTGCTCATTCTACGCTTTACTTTTAAATTACATTTAAACTGTGTAAATCCACTGCAGAAAAATGGCAGATGCTCAAACAAACAAGATTTGGCAGAACAGAAATCACCTGAATCACGTGTCTTTTAAACAAGAGGAGTCCTTAAATGCACTCTTATTAGTCCACTCACCTGTTATCATCATTATTTACTAAATAGATGCTCTTCAGTATGGCAAGAATGACAGTAGCTATGTAAATCGTGGATTGCCTTTCATCCAGCAGATTAAAGTAGCTTAAATTGACTCTTGGAAGAAAGGCAGCAAAATACTAGATTTATCCTGGGAATTTTCCTCATAAGTAAACCCATTAAAAAGGCTTTATGGATTTCTGCAATATTTCTATTAATAACTTATAAATAACACAATACACAATGTAAGCTTGAGATTAGGCTTGTATGAACTGTCTTTTAAAAACTTTTACTTAGCAACATATTGAGTGCATATATCCAGAGTCTGACAAGTCTCAATTAGCCCTGAAAATTAATTGGAACAGCTCTTTCCTGTAGAGAAGAAAGCTGTTTATAGATGACGTGAAATGCAGAAACTTCAGTATTCACTTTTAACCTGGATCTTCTGATATGTTTAGACATGTCTAATGTAAAAAACAGGTTTTTTTTATTTTTTTACTTTTCAACAAACAAGAAATAGCAATGAAGAACACTCTGTTCTTCTGGGTCAAGACAACAGACCTCTCAGCAAGGGGCATTTGGGAAGGATAGCTTTTGCTGGCAACTAATCCAATCTGAAATACCCTTCTCTCCCATTTGAAAGCCACACCACACCCATGTCAGCAATCCGTGGCATTCAACACTCGAGGGAGTCAGGAGTTTGTTACAGCTTGCAATCCTGGTAAGAAAGAACAAGAAGACACGCTGCGGACATGTCTCATCTTTGAAACATCTTGCAAAAGCTGCTTTAAGCTGTTTGTGAAATGCAACTACAAATTATTTTCCTAGGAAATAACTTCTTTATCTCCTTTTATAGTACAAAGAACTGGCCAGAAAGTAGAATTACAGAGAAAGGAATTTGGAGCTAATCTAGTCTAATCCCTTGCTCGATGCAGAATCTGCAATAAAGGATGAAACTACAGCATCCCTGACAGATAGACCACCCAACTCCTTTTAAATATCTCCAGTGACAGAGAACCTACCACCTCCTTAAGCAGTCTGTTCTACTGTTGAACAGTTTAGCAATAGAAACCTGCCTCTAGATTTTTGGTAAAAACCATTTCCCTGAAATATTCCCACTTTTTCTAGTCCTGTATTCTAGGGCAAAAAAAACAAAAAAAAAACAAAAAAAAACCAAGTCTGCTTCATCTTCTTCACGGCAATCTTTCAGATTTTTGAAGAGTGCTATCACATCGCTACTTAATCTTCTCCAAGCTAAGCATAAAAGTTCTTTCAACTGCTCCTCACAAGATTCCTTTTCCAGATTCCTCACCATTATGGCTGCCCTCCTTTGGACATACTCCAGTTTGTAATCTGTGGTGCCCAGACCTAAACACAGAATGCACATGCAGCCTGAACAAAGACTAGAGTGAACCTGTAACTTTTCAAGATCTGATCCTGGAGAGAAAGATTTAATTTCATTTCTAGATTCCCTTCTCTCAATGAAGAGATTAACAATTATTTCCAATAAACAAGCCTTAGAAGCTTGAAAAATCTTGTATGATTTTGCACAGCTGCCAGAAATTAGTTTTCTAGAGGGCTCCCTTGGGAAGGTGGTGGTGAGCTAAGGAGGCAATGCAAATGCATCAAGGACATGATCTGCTAGAAAGCTCTGCTATCAGTTACATTCCATCCACTCATAATT